AAATCACTTAACTAAAAGGGCCTCATTTTTACATCCTGTAAAATGAAAGGTTTTGGACTAACACAGAAGTCAAACAAAAATAAAGAGAAGAAAACAATGAAAGATTTAGCTAAAGTGGGCCATTTGACTTTTAAGATTATTGACAAATGTATAATCTAGGTTTTTCTCTCACTTGCTTTTATTATGTTATCTTCCAAAAAGTTTTTTTTAGTATGGGTATTCATATTTTTGAGTTTATCGTCTACCTTAAGATTCCTGTGACTACACCTATTAGTCAATTCAATTTTTTACTTTAACAATATTTAGTTTGCAAGAGCACAGTTTTTTAAATTACTATTTTCTAAGCAGAAAGAAAAGTACATATGATTTTAAATACCCTTAGGAATACATCTTCAAAATTAAAATTTCAACTAATTGTTATGGACATAGCTTTTAACAGTTCAGTGTGATTAATGTTATGCCCACTTAAGCTTTCAAAGATTTTTGAAAGAAATTGAATTGATATTTTTAAGCAGTTGGTTACATCTTTAACTTACAAACAGAAAAAGAGGTTGAAAAAAAGATAGTCACCATTCTCTCAAAAATTTTAAAGCATGAAATTGTATTTCAGTTGGGAGTGTGTATCAAAGGATAGTTTTAGAATCATAGAGAATTTGAATTGGAAATGGCCTTAGAGATTATTTAGCTAGAGTCTTCGTTCTATAGCTGAGTTAGTGACTGGCTTGGGGAGGTTAAGGTTAAGGCTATTAACCCAAGGTCAAATAGTGATGGACTGGCAGAGCAAGTACCAAAACTCAGGTTTATTCATCATGGTTCTTGGGCTTTTTCCAGTATGCCACAGTATTTTTCAATTATGTGTGTTAATGTAAGGAAATGGAACGTTTTAATATAAATGACTATGTGTGTATTCTGAGGTCGGTTATACAATACTATTTTACAGGGTAAGAAAGAAGATGACATTTAGAATATATTCTCAGAAACCTATATCACTTTTATATTTATTTTTCTGCTAAAGTAATAAAGACAAAAAATAGCTTAACCTATTACAATTCTAGCCAATGAATAATCATTTCTTGATGGTTCTTAGTCTTGCCCAGTTAACCAATTGAGGGCAGCTATTAAATGTTCCTACTCACCATTTTATCCTCAGGGCCTGTGGCTGGCACATAGTAGATGCTTATGATTACTTTAAATGAGCAATAATCTACAGAAGGTTAGAGAAAAAAAATTGTCCATTGTGAAGAAAATCATTAGTAAAGCTATATGTAGGATTGTGTTTGTTATTAGCTTTAATAAACCCGCTCCTTTAAAAAAATTATTTGGTTATCGTAGAGAAATATAAAGCAAAGATTGAGAAGCAAAGGTAAACTGTGTTAGGAAGCCTTCTAGTGGTGTCCAGGAGGAAATTTTTATAGTGCGATTTATCTTTTGATTATCTCTGGACTTTTAAGCAGGAGTTTTTATTGCCTTGCTTGAATAACAGTTTGTTACAAGATATTTTAATTCTTTTGGAATGGTTTCAAACATTAAGTAAAGAGTAACATTCGTTCTGCTGTTGTTTTGTGCTATCGAGGACTTTGGGTGCATGACAAAGATTTGTGTTGCAGAAGGTAAGGTGGGCTGAACACGGAGAGCTCCAATGAATGAATATAAATTGCTCTGAGAAAGTCCTGTCTATGGTGATCCTGATGAAAGAGAAGAAATATATTCATGTGTCTGTTCTTCCTTCTCCCCTTTTGGATTCGGTTTTTCAAGATAAAGACCGAATCAAGATACTGGTTGCTTTAATAGGCATTTCTTTTAATGGGGTCTGGGCCTATATTTTAGATCATCAAATGAGAGGGAGTTCTGTATTATTTAAAAAGTAGAATTAGTGTTAACTTCAGTGAAAGGAATTTTTCTTTTTATGATTATAAAAATGAACACAGGAATACATAACCTAGTGTTGTTAAGGGCAGGGTGAATAACTATGGGAATAGTTATAAAAATGTAGCAGGTTATTGTGGTCAAATATTTCTCAAATCAAGGTTAGCATGAGGCATTGTCTTCTTCATATGTGATATATGAAATAGTAACGCTTTAATGGTGTTCAAGACAATGTGAGCTGTCCTTCCGAGGCTATCACATTTGCTAAAAAGTTGAAATTTATAGAATAGCCAGCATGATTTATTTTTTATGCTTAATAGAGTTGCATGTGTAGATACAGAGTAAAATCTCCTTAGGAAGTTATTCCTCATATTTTTTTCACATGAAATGACTCAAAACTTGAGACTCTTTCATGTATCCTCAATTTTTTGTTTTCTTTTTGAGAAAAATGTTAGCACTTAATTCCTAAAAGTCCTTTGGTATGGTTTTACAAATACAATAAAATGTTAAAAATGCCATGTTTTAAAAACATATTGGCCTTAACGTAAATTCTCTTTCTTTTTTCTTAGCAAGCAGAGATGAACTCCAGTCTAGAAAAGTTAAATTAGACTATGAAGAAGTTGGTACTTGTCAAAAGGAGGTCTTACTAACCTGGGATAAGAAGTTGTTAAACTGCAGAGCTAAAATCAGATGTGATATGGAAGACATTCATACGTCTCTTAAAGAAGGTATTTAGGATAATCTCGATAATCTTTTATTTAAGAAAAGCCTCAGAGATTTTTTTGATTTGTGGAGCTCAGATGTAATTTTGTCTTTGTGCTTTGCTTATAAAAAAAGGACAGGCCGGGCGCGGTGGCTCATGCCTGAAATCCTAGCACTCTGGGAGGCCGAGGCGGGCGGATTGTTTGAGCTCAGGAGTTCGAGAC